GTCCAGCAACTCAGTCCCTCGGGGAGTTTGGATCTGTCCATGGGGCCTCCATGACCTTTCCTTGTACAGGTTGTGTTAGTTTCCCTGTATTGTGTACTGTCTGACCCTTCACCCAAGATACCACTTGTCTATTGCCTATTTAATATTCCCCCCCCCACCCCTCCCATCCCTGGTAACCAACAAGGGCAAAGATTTTTAAAAATTGGTAAATTAGACTTCATCAAAATACACATCTGCCTAAAGGGCCTGCTAGTGGGTATTGACAATCTCTGTGCCTCCCATCTTGAAATATTCTTCTCCCCTTCCCTTACTGCTACAAATTCTTCCCATACCTAGGACTTCCTCTGCCCCAACTAGCTCAGCTTCTCATCTCTTACCTTTTTGCTCACTCTAGAAATTTCCCTTACTATTCCCAGATGGGTCCTCTGATGAAATGGCCTGAAAAATCAACAGTAAATCCTGATTTCCCACTGGAATATAGATAAATCCTTTGGTCACATCTTAGTTAAAACGATTTACCACTATCACTTAGGGAGCATTTGCTTTCTATTTATCCCCCACTGAACATACAAGCTACGATCTGTAGAAAACTTAAAAAGGATGTGTACTTTAGGCCAGAAAACTCAGGAGCGAGAGTGAAAAGGACTGTTAGACATAGTCACTATTGCAAGAAGCATAAAGAAAGGGCAAAATCTAAAACCTCAGAAAAGGACAAAACCAGTAGGTCCTGGGCATTCATATCAGCAATATGCCATAGCTCCCCACAAGGATTCCATTTCCCCATCCCCAACACCCCATCTCATAAGGCCTAAAAAACAACCACTGTTGTCAGAGCTGAGAGTGTGCATTTTCCTTCTGGTAGGCCGACAGGTACCACTTGGGATACAGCAGTGGGAGATGTATACGCCAGGATATCCCCAGTTGGAAACCTGAACTTCTTCTCCCACAAGCACAGCATCACATGTGGTGATTAGGTCTAAAGCATTATTAGCCACTATTAGTTGTGGCCGAGGATCAAAACAATTAACAATAATTAAAAAAAAATAGCACTTCTTGTTGAATTTTTACTATATGTCAGATACTGTGCTAAAGTGCTTCTACATGATTAAGCCCTACGACAACCCTATCAGGTAGGTACTATCATTTCCATTTTTTTCAGATGTGGAAACTGAGACACAGAGAAGTTAGGTAATTTGCCCAGGTATAGAGTGATGAAATCAGAATTCTAACTACATTCTGACTGACACCAAACCTATAATTATGTAGGATCTATGGGATGGTGAATCAATAAATTTCCAGGAATAATTTCATACATTCATACACTGGGTCTGCCTATAATTGACTTGGTATATCAGGATCCTATCAGGTTCATCAGCTAAACTGTAGACTTTATGTACTTTAACAAAGCATCACAAACACTATTTTAAGAAGCAGGCAACATTTCACAATTAGCATCTTAGCAACGTACCTATCGTTATGTTACCCATCTTGCTTTGTAATGTAATATTGCCTGTAAAAGAGAAAAGGAAAAGAGAATTATATAAAGACTAATCTAAAAGAAGCTATCTTATATGGTATCCTAAAACATGGCTGAGTATCTAAAATGTTATTTAATAATTATATGTTGGCAATTTGCTTAGTATCATAAATCTAGTCAGAGATTTATTTGCAATAACCACCTGAAATAACTAGCTTTAAGCATCTATGCAAACTCCCTTCCTCTACTCCCAAACCTTAAGTTTTTGTAGGATAACTGCAAAACAAACCACCATACTTCCTGGAAAATATGGAGAAAATAATACTTCTAAAGGCCAGAAATGAAAAAAACTTATTCAAATGTACTATGAATTTTCAACCTAAACATCAATGTATCTCAGACCACACAAAGCCAGGTTTTAAACCAAGTAACACTAAAATATTCTAAGGAAAAAGTAATTACTGTCACTTTTCAGGTCACTATGTCATGTCTTTCTGTTAAAGTGGTCTCTGTACCAAGACTTAAAGTGGTTTTGGGTGGCAGGGATAATGAATACACAGAATGCACTAACAAAAAAAGTAATGAATACACTGGATAATGAATACACTAACAATGATAATGAATACACCAATGAAGGAAAAAGCTTCAAAGGTTTCCATTTTTCAATACAAACATATTTTCCAGGACAGGTATGGGCTATTGCAACCATTCTTCTCAGCCCCCTTCCTCCAATACCAAAAGATAGTAGGATTTTTCTTCATGTATGATTTTGCATGTATGATTACTTCTGGAGTCATAATACAACTCATATTTACTCCACTGAAACTGGAAGCAAAAATAATCTCTCTTCTGCCATAATTCCAAAAATACCCTGAAAAGTAAAGGAATAACTCTGATCTCAGAATTAATCTAAGGTAAATGAACTTATTTATTTCATGCATCTCATAAACACTGACATGTATCAGTACCTGGAAAAAGCCAAAAACGCACTTGATTCATTTCAGTCAGATGTGCTTCAACTGCAAAAATCCCTCTAAAGATATTACATCCCATTATATTTCTTATGAGTATATGAACAAGGAGTACATTTACGTAGGAATAAAAACTTGGCTTGTGTGCATAAGTTAAGCTCATAAAATTGCCTTCAAGTCTCAGTAAATTAGAAGGGCGTGAAAATCTTGTTAAATGTGTTATGTAAATATTATTTCATTGGTGTGTTCTATACACTCTCTTCCAATTTTCAAACATACTAAATGCATGGATTCACCAACATGTGCAAATAGTGGCCAAAGATTATACAGCTTCGAAGATGGCTTCCAACAACGCCCACATCCTGATATTCATACCCTGTATAATCTCCCCTTATGTGTGGGCTGGACCTAATGACTTGCCTTTAACGAAGAAAATGGGGCAAAAGTGATGGGATGTCACTTTTGAGATTAGGTTACAAAGATTGTGGCTTCTTTCTTGCTAGCTCTCTCTTGCTGTGATGGAAGCCAGCTGCCATGTTGTCAACTGTGCTACGGAGAGTTCCACTCAGCAAGGAACTGAAAGAGTTCTCTGACCAATAGCCAGTGAGAACTGAATCCTGCAACAACCACGTGAGTGAGCTGGGGATCAGGTTCTTCTCCAGTCAAACCTTCAAATGAGCCCACAGCTGTGCCTGACACCTTGTAAGAAACCTTGAGGCAGAGGACCCAGTTAAGCCACACCCAAATTCCTGACCCATCCAAACTGAGACAAAGTGGGTTGTTTCAGCCATCAAGTTTTAGGGTAATTTGTTACACAGCAACCCTATGGAGCAGTTCTACTCTGTTTATAGGGTTGGTTGCTATGAGTCAAAATCAACCTGACGGCAACAGGTTTGTTTTGTTACACGGAAGTAGGTAAGTAGTACAGATGTTGACACCTGGAAGTGGAGTGTTGCCATAATAAATACATTTAAAAAATGTGGAAGTGGCTTGGGAACTGAGCAATTGGAAAAGGTTGAAAGGATTTTGAGTAGCACTTCCAGAATGCCTAAATCGTCTTGAACAAACTGTTAGTAGAAATCCTCAAGAACACTGCCCGTGAGGGCTCAAAAGGAAGTGACAAAAGTGTTTTGAAAACTGAAGGATAGGAGATCCTTGTTAGGTAGTGGCAGCAACTTAGCAACACTATTGCCTTCAGTAACACGGAAAGTAGGAAAAGTGCCTAATGAATTGAGTGATTTAGCCAAGAAGACTTTCAAGCAAAGTCAACGTGTTGCAGTGTTGCCTGATTTTTTTCTTGTTTCTTACAGTACGAGGAGACAAACTAAAGCTAAAGGAAGGACTGTTAAACAAAAAGGAACCAGGATTTCATGGCTGTGAAAATTCTCATCATCTGCAGATGGCAAAAGATACTAAAATTAAGAAATAGCTTCTGAACAAAGTTTGAACCCAGGGTACTTCCAGGAGAACATGGCCTAAAAATGAAGGGGTAACTGTAAAACCTTTTGTAAGGCCCCAAAAAGATCAATGGTGGTAAATCACAGTCTTAATCAGTTACATAAACAGTTGTCTTAGTTATCTACTGCTGCTATAACAGAAATACCACAAGCGGATGGCTTTAACAAAGAGAAATTTATTTCCTCACAGTAAAGCAGGCTCAAAGTCCAAACTCAGGGTGTCAGCTCCAGGGGAAGGTTTTTTCTCTCTGTCAGCTCTGGAGGAAGGTCCTTCTCATCAATCTCCCCCTGGACTAGGAGCTTCTCCGTGCAGGAACCCCAGGTCCAAAGGACATGCTGTGCTCCCGGCACTGCTTTCTTGGTGGTATGAGATCCCCATCTCTCTGCTCGCCTCTCTCTTCTACATCCCAAAAGAAATTGGCTCAAGACACAGTCCAATTCCATAGATTGAGTTCTGCCTCATCAACACAACTGCTACCCATTCTCCCTCATTAACATTACAAAGGCAGGATTTATAACACATAGGAAAATCACATCAGATGACAAAATGGTGGACAATCACACAATACCAGGAATCATGGCCCAGCCAAACTGATAACACATTTTTTGGGGGGACACAATCCAATCCGTAACAAGAGTTCTTTAAGGGTATGCCTCACAGATCCTCTCAAACATTAAACCTGTTGCCGTCAAGTCGATTATGACTCATAGGGACCCTACAGGACAGAGCAGAACTGCCCCATAGAGTTTCCAAAGAGTGGCTGGTGGATTCGAACTGCAGACCTTCTGGTTAGCAGCCAAGTTCTTAAGCACTGTGCCAGCTGAGGGCATTGTACGTTGACATCTTTGCAGGAGCTGTATTTTGAAGAGATTTATGGGTACGGCTTTTGTCTACTGGAATGAACTGCAATGAGAATCACAGGAGGCCCACAAAGTTTTTGAGAGAATTATGAGCAAAAACACTGCTGCTTCGACTGAAAGGGCCAAGGACAGTACAAAGTGAAAAGAGGCCAAAATTCTACTGGCAGGATGCAAGTTAAGAAAACTTTTCAACTGCAAATACAGGATACATTTCATGAAAAAGGATGGCTGACTCAGAAGGTGGGACCAAGAGCTCAGAGGGCAAAGCCTCAAACCATGAAGAATTTCCAGACCCTGAGACTTAACCAAGGGATCTCCCACATTTTTCTACCTGAATTTCAAAATCACTATGAACCAGTGACTCTTCTGTGTCTCCCATTTCCCCCTTTTAACAAGAATGTCTATATTGGTTATCCGATACCTGTCTGAGCATTTTATGTTGGGTGTTGGGTGTGGGATGGGGGAGGGTATAAATAACTTGTCTCTTTACTTCACAGGTCTTCAGATTCAGACTGTACACAAAGACCTATACTTAAGGAATTACACCTCAGGAGCTTCATCTACATCTGGAATTGATTTAGATAGAGAGATTCTGGAGTTTGAGCTGATGTGTAATAGGATGAGACTTTTGGGGACCTTGGAACAGAGTAAGTGTATTTTGTATGTGGGAGGGACATGAATCATTGAGGGGCCAGAGGAAAGACTGGTCATTCAAAATCTTATAAGATATCTGGGGAGATATACTTGTGAAAAGTTAAAAATTGGTATATATTAATAATTATAAAATAACATCACAAATGAACAGCATGAATTAAGTTGCCATAGCCATTGAGAAGAAAGAGCCCATAGTGACCTGACATGGTCAGGGAGAGTAGTCACATAGGACGAATCATCTGAGCTGAGATTTGAAACACAGGAACATTTGAATATGCTGAGAGGGAAGAATTTTCTGGGAAAAAGAATTACATAAATAGAGGTAAGAAGGCAGAACTACACATGTGTATCACACAGATCAGTTAGGCTGGAGCAATTAGACAAGTCCATGAAGGACAAGGATCATGTCTTTCTTATTTAGCATCTTATTTGGAGAGCTTGGAGCCCTGGTGGCAGTGGTTAAGAGCTTGGCTGCTAATCAAAAGGTCAGCAGTTTGAATCTACCAGCCGCTCCTTGGAAACCCTATGGGGCAGCAGTAGTTCTACTCTGTCCTATAGGTTCACTATGAGTCGGAATTGATTCAAAGGCAATAGGTTTTGGAGAGCTAAGCACAGTGCTCAGTACATAGTCAACACTATTATTTTTTGAAAGATCAACTGAAAAAATTTGAAAAAGTAGGTTAAGAGCAATCTGTGGAAGAATCATGGAATGCTAGCCTATCGACTTTATCCTATCCTTTTGAAGGAGTCACTAAGGAATTTTAAGACGGCTAACAATACAAAAATGTCATGCTTTAGGAGGATTAACCTAGTGTGAGACAGTGGGAATTCCATATCCATAATTTTCTTTACTGCTTCCACCTCCTGAACACTTCAAAAATAAGATGAAGCAGACCCTTGGTATTCATAATTTTAACTATTAATCCAGATCTGTGATATAGTTTATAATCAGTCACTTAGCAAGCAAGTCCAACCCTTCACACAGCAAGACAAAAAAGCTTTGTCTTATACTAGACTTCAATGAATGCAGTAAAAATTTACTTTCTTTTTGAAAACATGCCCTTTCTCAAAAAGCTAATCATTTAGTTCC